ACACCAGGGAGAATTTTTATTACTATATCATGCCCTTTTGTTCCTTCAACTGCTCAATCACCAACTCCAATGGCAACCCAAATTATTGTCTTCCTGCAATAATTCTACTTCAAAACACATTTACTAAGATTGTTTTCATGAAAGCTCGTTTTCTAATTCAGACTCACAAGGTGTGACTCAAGGTTAAAAGTTATATGATAAACTGTTTCCATGTAATGGGAAGAAATGATGGCGTATATCAGATTGGGCAGATTATGTTCCTGCACCTTGCCAGTAATAGGCAATGATCACTCCCTGAATGTGCTGTCCTGAAAAATACACAGTAAACGTTACAGGCATGTAAGGTTGAAGAAGTATAGATGACAGGTCCTGATCCCATCTGTATTTTCTTCCTTTCCCTATGGGTGTCAGCATGTGCAAATGCTACAGGCAACAGGAGTTTGGTATCTCATATTATGGAGAAATAAATGCTGAATGATGTTTCTGCTTTTTCCTCTCACTCCAGATGGGAGGAAACCGTATATAGCAGGTATTTCCATGACATATATCCTCAGCTATTGAAGTCCCAGTGACCAGCAGAGCTTAAAATATTTTGTCTTTTTAATGCAACACTACCTATCCTGGTTGCAATCTAGAAAGATATAGAAAGCTGGCTTCCAGGAGGAAGTATCAACTACAATACCATTTTTCCATTTCTCATTATTTCTTTATGATGCAGTTCCATAGCCTCTAGGATTTCCTTACTCCCTCCATAAACTCCTGTTTCCCCCCCACCACACACACACTGATTTCCCCTATATTATCACAATAGAACAGTTATCCTTAGACAGAAATAAATTAATCATTGCTGGAATGGGCAATGGCAGAGAGTCCAGGGTCCTATTGTCAAGATATATATAACAGAATCATTGGGAGTCTATCTATGATCTGGAAGTAGAGAAGCATACTGCATCGTATCTTCACATCTGATATGATAGTCTCCATTACACAGTTACTACAATCCATTGAAATGAAAAGCCACAAAACAAAATCAACAACAGAGGAAAAATAAAAATTTACAATGCCATGAAGTTGAATAACATGCTAACATGCTACTGAATAACTGTCACTGAAGAAACGAAAATCAAGAACCTTCTTGAAGAAAATGGTGCTATTGTATGATCTGAAACACTGAAGAATTTAATGAAAAATTTTTTTGAAGAAATGAAAATAAAAACATCAAAATTCATGATATAGTTTACGCTGATCTTTTTTGGGAGATGTGTCTCCTGTAGACAATATATAGATGGGTTTTGTTTTTTTAAACCCAGTGATAGCTGGAGAATCAAGATGGCGGAATAGAGTAAGGACACGTTTAAATGGAAAGAAAAACATTTAATCAGGATGAAACAGAGATGACATATCCCAGGAAATAGGAAAGGACAGAACAACAGCAGAAGGAGACTGACAGACACAGGACAGCAGCGGACATAACAGTGTGGAGTCGCAGTGACTGATATTCCAGCAGCATTCAGCTAATGGCGATCTGAACTCCACCAGCATCTGGAATTCCACCAGCAACCAGATGGGAAGGGATTTTAACTGGGAGCTTGGGAGGTGAACTCAGACAAAGAACTGTCCATCCTGCTGGTTTGTTTGATTTGACCAGGAGCAGAGACAGAGCAGCAGATCCCAGATGGGCAGTGCAAGAACAGGGTGGATTTCACAGCCTAGTCAGCACCCTAGAGCCACTTAGGTGCCATTTTGCCTATGGAGGCAAAGCAAGGCAAAGGACTGAGCATACACTGAGCTGGGAGTGAACTCATTTCTGACACGGTGAACTCTGGCGACATGGCATTCTACAGGTTCCACCCAAGACAGGTCTGGGTAGAGCTCAGCTCTTACAGCCAGCAGATCAAGAACTCCAGGAGTGGTACACTGTGGCAATAGCTTTAGGACTGCAGGGGACACCAGTGAACTGCGCATGTGCTGAGCTCGCAAGAACTCACTGAGCTCTGTGGATTGCACTGGTCCCGCAGGAAAATAATACCGACTATGGCATCGTATGGGTCAAAATAGGTCCGTGTGGCACCCAGAAGCCTATGGAACTGTATCATACAGTGATAATAATAATAATAGAATGTAAAATAAAAATAAACCCAGTGTATAATCTATGATGCTTGATTGATGGGTTTAATCCATTTACATTCAGGAAAATATAAGTAGGTAGTAATTTGGGCCTGTCATTTTAGCAACGTGTGTTCATTGTTTGACTTAGTATTCTGTTGTTATTTTACTGGGATGTTCTTCACATTTGCCTTTGGTTTTGATGGGTGCTATTCCTTTTCTTTGTCAAGAGAACATGTTAAGGCAGGTCTGAAAGAGGTGTATTATTCTAAGTTTTCTTTACTGTGGAAGATTTTATTTCATTTTCAAAGACAAAGGAAAGCTTTATTGAGTACGTTATTCTGGGACGACAGTGTTTTGCTTTTAGAATGTGGGATATTCTCTTTTGGCATGTAGTTTCCTGTGAGAGCTGAGCTATGAGTCTGACTGCCGTTTCTCTATATGTCAACTGATTTTTTTACAGAAGCACATTTAATGTTCTTTCCATTATGTTTGATTGAACAGAACTTGATTATTGTGTCATGGTGAAGATTGTTTTCTGTCTGTTCTGACCTGAGCTCTGTGTCCCTCCTGGATGTTGTTTCCCAATTCCTTCTCTAGATTCGCAAAATTTCCCCTTATTATTGGGACAAAGAAATGTATTGAAGTCCTTTATGTTCAGGTATTTATTTCAAAAGGCAAAATTTTATAAAGCTTGTTGAACTGACTCAACTATTGTGGTGTCCCTAAAACCCTTCAGAACCACAATGGCTCCACTATAATCAATGTATTTCTATTTGCCCTCTGTACCTCAAATAGTTATCTTCCTTAGAGTATCATATCAGTTTATCACCTTTTCAGCAAAAGGTCCAAGCACCTTTTTTTTTTCTTCTGTAAGACCATAGGCACATTAGATGTATATGGTTAGCATCAGATTGCCCATAAAATATCACAGAGAAGCCTTTCAAAAACATGAACATGGAGTAATGCTGTTCTAAAAATATCACAAAAGCTTGAAGATGTGGAAGTGGTAAAGAAACTTGGGGTATCCCTCAGACAAGACCCATTGTGGGATATCCCACAATGTAGGGTATCCCACAGACAAGACCCTGAAATTGCAATCTATGAAGGACATCACCATTACCACTGCTCAACCAACCAGCAGTTCCATAGAACAATGCCAACAAGGACATAACAACATGCAATTTATAGAGGATGGATATTTTTTTTTAAATGTGTTTGAGGTCCTATAGGAAATTAGAACAAAATCCCTCAAATATTTCAAAGTATTCAAGATTGATCAAGGATCATAAAAAAATCTATCTACTTCTATTGAACCCTTGAGAAATAGATCTCATCAGATCTAGATTCTCCAAAAAGTGAGCTGATTTTGAAGATTTCTGAATTAGTCTCAACACATCAGGAGCACATTTCAAAAATCCATGGTGGGACCTGAAGATGTTCTGGAGAATCTCTTAAAGGTAGCCATGAGTCTTAAGTAACAGAGATGAGACCCCAACAGTGGGAGCAAAAGGACAGGGGAAGTATGCTCCTAGTGACAACTGAAACATCACATTACAAGTGCTGTCACTACAGACAATGAATTGTCGGCTCACCAGATGTCAAAATAAACCCCAGGATTATTCTCATTTGTAGAGAGCACTGGAGGGCTGCCTCAAAGGCTGAGAACCCTTGTCAAGTGTCTATAATAAACCCCCTACACTGAAGGAAGCCCAGGATCCACATCAAAGACTCCAAAGAAAAATCAAATGAGCATCTAGAAACCTTATATACTTTTTAAACTAGAAGAAAACTTAGACGATTCCTTCTGGGTACCACAGCAAGCTGCCTTGCTCTCTATCTTAGGCCTTCTCCTCTCATACAACAAAACCAAAACAACAACAACAACAAACCCAGACCTGCCCTGGGTGGAACCCGTAGAATGCCACGTCGCTGCAGTTCACAGAGTCAGAAATGAGCTCACTCCCTCTCAGAGCATGTTCAGTCCTTTCCCTTGCCCTTTCCTCCCTAGGCAAAATGGCGATCAATTCAGCTCTAGGGGCTGACTGGGCTATGAAATCCTCACTGTTCTCGCACTGCCCGCCTGGAATCTGTTGTTTTGTCTATTCTCCTGGTCAAATCAAACGGACCAGCAGGACAGACAGTTTCCCGTCTGGGTTTCCCTCCCAAGCTCCCTGTGAAAGTCCCTTCCCACCTGGTTTCTGGTGGAGTTCTGGCTGCTGGTGGAGTTTAGATCACCGTACTGGAATATCATTCACTGCAACACCACACTGCTGTGCCCGCTGCTTTCCTGTGTCTGTCAGTCTCCAGGTAACCCTCTGCTCTTGTCATGTCCTTCCATATTTCTTGAAATATGTCCTCTCTGCTTCAATCTGGTTAAATGCTTCTCCATCCATTTTAACGTGTCCTTACCCTATTCTGCCATCTTGATTCTCCCGGGAGGGTATTTTTAATTTAATCAAACACAATGCCAGTTCAAAGAGAAACTGATAAACTACAAGAATACATATGCTGATAGGAAATTTTTCAAAAATGGAACGTACTTTAAAAATGATATTGGATACTTCAGTGTCAGCATTATCTTTTATACACTTGTTAAGAGCACATATGCCAACATGATACATTCACATGTATTTCAGATTAAGAAACCAGAAGCCATCCAACTGCAGGTCACACTTCAGATAAAAGAGCCAGCATATCTGCATTTGACTAGAGGCACTTAGATTGGGCCAGAGGAGAATGCTGTGATGCTGTCCTTCAACGAAATCCTATTACACCATTATGCAGCTAGAGACATCACTGCCACATTTGTCTATCAAAAGCTATACCTCATACTTCTGAAAGGAAATGTGAGGGGAAGCATTATATAAAACATTACAACAGTTCAAAGGCAATTAGGTCAGTTAACTGCTTTTATTTTCATCAACGCTACAAAGGATTGTAACTCTAACTTCCGACCAGTTACTTCAATCTTAATTGATTACAGGTGTGATTATCAGAAAGGCAAAGAGAGATCCACTTGGTTTAGAAAAAAGCTATCACTAGAAAGCTTGTATAACCGTATTCATGGACTGCTGCAACTGGAGATTACTTGATTTCTATGAATCTTATTTTGTTTATAGTCCTTGTCCATATGGGATTTCTTCAAAAGGTTTTCTAAAGTCACTAAATTAACCATTAATCATGAATTTTCTGATTCATAACAAACTTATACCTCCCAGGAAATGCATTCACACAATTATAAGGTATTACTTCTAACAAAAGATTTTCCATATTCATTACTCTGACACCTCTTCCACCATATGAATTCTCTGATGCTTAATGAGGGAAGACTTCTGCCAAAAAGCTTTCTCACACTCTTTACATTCATAAGGCTTTATGCCTGTGTGAACAGTCTGATGTCTTAGGAGGTGTGACTTCTGGCAAAATGCTTTTCCACATTGCGTACATTCATGAAGTTTCTCCCCTGTGTGAATTTTCTGATGAGTAATGAGGATTGATTTCTGGCAAAAGGCTTTCCCACACTCTTTGCACTCATAAGGTTTTTCTCCTGTGTGAATCCTATGATGTCTAATGAGATCTGACTTCCAGTAAAAAGCTTTCCCACACTCATTACACTCATATGGCTTCTCCCCTGTGTGCATTCTCTGATGTGTTGTGAGGTGAGACTTCCAGCAAAAGGCTCTTCCACACTCTTTACATTCATAAGGTTTTTCCCCTGTATGAATTCTTTGATGTTTAGTAAGGTATGACTTACAGCAAAAGACTTTTCCACACTCATTACATTTATAAGCTTTCCCTGTGTGAATTCTCCGATGTTTGATGAGGTCTGACTTCAACCAAAAGGCTTTTCTACACTCTTTACATTCATAAGTTTTCTTAGCAGTGTGAATTCTCTTATGGGTTAAAAGCAGTGATTTCTGGAAAAAGGCTTTTCCACAAACATTACATTTGTGTGGCTTCTCCTGTGTGTGAATTTTCTGATGTGTTTTCAGGAGTGATTTATGAGAAAAGGCTTTTCCACATTCATCACATTCATTAGGCTTCTTAGCTTTCTGAATTGTCTGATTTCTAATAAACTCTAACTTCCAATAGGTAGTTTTTCCACATTCATTGCACCTATGCATCTTCTCCCTTTTGTGAGTCATTTCATGAAAGGTGTGACAGGATTTACAATTGAGAGATTTCCCACAAGGTTTACACATGTAAGGCTTATTGCGCATATGTGCTTTCTGACTCACTGTAATATTTGATTTGCTAATCAGAGTGTCCTCACAGTCAGTAGATTCTAATAATTTCTTCCTTGTGTGTATCTGCTGTTTACTATGACTAGGCTTCTCTGAAAAGTTTCCTTTCCTATCTTGGCTGCATGTCTGACAGTGGAAGCTGACTTATTTTTACAGGTCTCTTCTATATGAACCCTCTCAAATGCAATGCATTTCTTCTTTCTTTTGAGGGCTTTCCCTTTTCCACTCTTCTCAGAAGCATGCCGCACAGTCTGAATCTCCTGATGCTGACTAAGAGACTCAGAGCATTGGGGAGAGTTCTCAGGCACATTACAGCTACTGGATTTCTCTCCAGGTTGAGTTGTATTAGACCCACTAGAGAAATGCACATTGTGAAATACATTCCATGCACCCCTTTTCATTTTGAAAAACTTATCCTTTTGATAACCAGTTTTGGAACACGGCTTGGGCAGAAATTAAGTCCTTTTCTTAAATCAACTTTGAGATTTGGCATGTTGTTTGTCACTGAATCTTGTCTCATATTAATGTCTTCACTTTCCTGGTTGGTTTCACTTAAGCCATGCTTTTCCTGGGGAACTGAAATGAAAAAAAAAATACATAATTGAATAACATCTAAAGGCTTCTCTTGAGATGCTCATGTAAAGACAATTAAGTTATAAGCTATCTCAGTTCTTACAAATTTTTAAACATACTAGTAAGATAAGTAAGAATTGCAGTTTTCCTCCTTTTTAGGAGTGTTAATTTTAACAGATTTCCCAATATTCAATCATGATTCTTATTCTTTAAATATTTTCTAATTACGTCAAAATGGGTTAGGTGGTAAAGCGCATTAAGCCGCAGATGAGATACCCATAACAAAGAAAAATTCAGAGTTTCAGTCCTGGATAACCTGTTTCCACTGCAGCCTTTGCCAGTATATCTTGTAAAACAGCACATGACCATTTTAGTGTTTTTGAGTCCGTGACACATTTGAGACTCCATGACAGATTCCAGCCCTTTGGTTGTTTTAGGCTTCTGGGGGAGTGAACCATTTAAGAGATTATCTCTATATGTCCCTTTGTTTCATTACATCTATCAAGAAGAGTAAAACAAGTAAGGTGAGAAATAATCTGAAAATATTCAGTAAATATATTAACGCTGATGGTAAAATGCCGTACTTTCTACTATCCATCTGTGTTCCCTGCCCTTGTACTCTTGGTGTTTCTTGCCAAAAAAACCTTTTCTGCTGATTTCATTATTAAAGAAGGATTGTTTTATTGAGTCACTGACATCCAAGTGAAGTAGAAGGAAATGTGTCTATACTCTAAAGAAGATGAGCTGCAATTAACAGGACAACAACATATGATAGTCCACCAATAGTGTGTTTACTTTCTTTCACAAATATCTGCTAAAAATTGTTGAATGGAGGAAAAAGAACAAGTTATGAGAACAAACTAGGAGAGGAAATATTTGTTTTGGAACTATACCTGTGAAATATTTAAACTTTGTTCTCTTTATATGCATACAAAATAATTTAAAAAGTGTTTGCTAGCTCCCTCTGAGATCTCCTTTCATAATTTTCTCCACTCAGCTCTTGTTATACACACTTCTGTTTGACAACTTAAATTTCTATAGCTTGTTGATTTCTGAGATACAAGAGTCGTTTCAGACTTCTACAGAAACAGTCTCCTATGATTTTATTGTTTTTCAGTGCTACTGATTGATACTGAAAAACTTCAAAGAGCAAACTCTGCTCCCTAACAAACCTTAGCCAGTCAATTCGCAGCAAAGATCTCACATGAAAATTAAAGACCTTCTAAAAGAAAAAAAAATAGGAAGACTCTAATATTCAGCCAGCCTTATACTTGATACTTAATGATACACACAGAAATATTACTAATATCATGAAAGAAATGTGAATGCAGAAAATTTCCTAATAAAATTTCAAAGAAAATTCAAAGAGGAGCAACATTTATAAGAAATGGTAGCACAAAATTATGAGTAATCAATAAATGGAGATGGAATTACATGGAGATGGGACAAAAAGAGATTAAAGAACATTCTACTGAGTGAATCATGCCTCACAGACAAATATCAGCAGCCAAATAACAAACACCTCATGAAGATGAATAACACAATATATCAAATATTTTGGGATACAGTAAAAGCACTGTTAAGAGCAATGTTTATGGCATTTAACGCCTTCATCAAGAAACAGTAAGAACATCAAATAAATGATCTAACAATGCATCTCATGGAACTAGAAAAATCAGGAAAAGCAAAGCCAAAAGTAAGAGAAAAAAATAAAAATTTAAAAGTTGAATTTTAAAAAGTGTTACAAAAAGTGAGGAGAGAGCAATATGGCAGAATAGGTTGAGGACATGTTAAAATAAAAGAAGGATTAGCCACGAAAAAGAAGAGAGTGTGCAATCCTGTGACGCGGGAGAGGACAGGCAAGAATGACACTGGAAACTCATGGACATGGGAAAGTAGCAGATAAAGTGGAGGTTCTTTGAGAAAAGTTTTTTTTAAAGTCACCAAAAGCAGAGGCAACAAAAGACAAACTAAATATTTGGGACTACATTGAACTAAACAGCTTTATTACAACAAAGGAAACAATCAACAAAGTGAAGAAGCAAGCCAACACAATGGGGGAAACTCTGCACATTACAAAACTGATAGGGGACTATCATGTAGGATTTATACTGAGCTTCAGAAATGCAATGATAGGAAAACAACCCTGTGAAGAAATAGGTGAAGGAAACGAACATTTATAAAAAGAACAAATACACATGGCTAACAGGCATTTGAAAAAATGCTCAGGCCCCGTAGCTATCAAGAAAAATACAAATGAAAAAAATACATTGAGATTCTACCTTACCCCAGGGAGACTGTCCTATATTCAGAACTCTAGCAAGAACAACTGCTGGCATGGATGTACCCTACTCTGCTGTTCATGGGAATTTGTAGTAGGCTAGTGCAGTCACTACAGATTCAGTATGGAGAGTACTAAAGTCCTCACCTTGAATGCAATGGGATCCTATATGAGCGCCAGTTCTAATCCCGGCAGTCCCGCTTCCCATCCAGCTCCCTGTTTGTGACTTGGGAAAGCAGTTGAGGACAGCCTAAAGCCTTCGGACCCTGCACCTGCGTGGGAGACCCGGAAGAGGCTCCTGGCTTCGGACTGGCTCAGCTCCAGCCATTGCAGCTGCCTGGGGAGTGAATCATTGGACAGAAGATCTTCCTCTGTCTCTCCTCTCTGTATATCTGCCTTTCCAATAAAAATAAACTAATTTTAAAAAAATATTGACCATAATAGGTCTGTACTTGGGAAGCAAGCAGAAACAATATTAGTCTATAGGTGTTAGTGTACCCGGATAGCAGAGACTCGGTAATTGCGCTACACAACTGATCCACTTGGGCCATGATGCTGGAGGCTGTGCCTAGTCCAAGAGCAGTGCTGTATCTGGTGAGGGTGTTTGTCCTGTGCAACAATGTGGCAAAGAGAAAGCACATGCTTTGGAAGATGGTATGAATGACCAGGTTCACATTTATTGCAATTTCCTCTAAGAATCACTACTCCAGGCCAAAACTGAGTATCCGAATATACTCTTGAAGTTTGTGCACACCTGACTCTATTAATTTTTATTGGGTTCCAGCTGTGAACACTGTTGCACTGGGGATTACATATTTAGTTTGAATTTGGGGCATAGCATTGTGTAAACATATTGTTCAACTACAATCTGGTAATTAGTGAGTGCTATAATGATCAAACCAGGAACAAATCCTAAGTCATTTATTCAAATTCTATGACAACTGGAAGTTACAGTTTCTTTTGAAATAAATGTTAGTCAATGTAAAACAAAAAGAATGATGCAGTAGTGACTATTGTTATAGGACCAAAGCAGTAATATAGAATACAATAGTGTGTGTGGAGGGGGTGACTGGGAAGGTGGTCATCCTGAGTGAATGAAAATGGTTCAGGAAGATAAAAAAGCAAAACAAAACAAGCTATATTCTAGCATTTGCAAAAAGTGGTCCCAAACGGAGACCATTATGCTCAGGGACATAAGCCAATCACAAAAATTATCATTCTTAAAATTCATGAAAAAGTTGGTGTTTTCAAATAAAAAAGTAAAACTAACAAATGAAAAAAAAAAAGATAAAAAAAGATGAAAAAGCACAGAAACAGAATGATCAGAAGTTAGTATTAATATGTATGTACCCCAAAACTGGAAAATCTGGAAGAAATGCACAGAACTCTCGACACAACTGATTTATCAAAACTGCCTCATGAAGATACAAAACCTACATAGACCAGTAAAGATGTAGGAGACTGAATCAATATTAATGACCTTCCAACGAAGAAAAACCAGGAGCTGATAGCTTCACTACTTACCAAGCTTTTCAAGAAGCAATTCCAACTCTGAAACTATTCAAATTAATTGAAAGGTAAAAAATCCTCCCCAACTCCTTCTATAATGCCAGTATCAACTTAATTCCAAAGCAACCAAAAACTACAACCAAAAGCAACTTAATTCCAAAGCAACCAAAGCAACTTAATTCCAAAGCAACCAAAAACTACAAAAAAGAGAAACGTGGGCCAATATTCCTCATAAGCTAATCAAATCCAACAACAAATCAGAAATATCATTCACTTGACTAAAGCAGATGTCCCTTGATGGCAAAGATGGTCAATGCATGCAAAAACAAATGTGACTATATCAGATAAAAAAATTGAAGAGTAAAATCTAGGTGATGCTTATCATGCAGAGAAAATATATTTGGTCAAAACACAATATCC